TCCCTCAGCAACCTCTCCTCCTGTGCTCAGTACCCCTGTCATCCTTAAGCCCCAGGGGAACGCTGGGTGTGCCCAGCCATTCTATGCATTGATTTCTCTGACCACCCACCACCTCCTTGCACAAGAACTACCCCATCACCAGCCTGGGCTGAGAACTCAGAACCTGTACCCCCAAGAAAGCAGAAGTGATTCTGAGCCCTGCTGACTCAGCTATGGGTACTTCCAGCATTTCCACAGCATGTGGAGAGGACACCCAGGCACCCCCACCAGAGCCCAAGCAGAGGTCCCAGGCTGGATCCAAAGGCAGCTCAGATCTGCCCAAGCGCATTTCCAAGTCCATGCTTCCTCCGAGAGACTCACGATATACTCTGCCCTCTGTGTGTATTGGAGTATCTGGTCCCACAGTCGGGATGAGGAGGTCAAGGGGCAAGGCTGAGAGCTGAATCCTGCAGCAGCCTGCTAGAGGATCTCTGGCCACTGCCAGCTGCTGACTTCTGTGGCAAGCATTTCCTTCTATAACAGCTGCACCATGCAAACCCACTGCACCTCGGTTCCATCCAACAGCATCGTTCCTTTCCAATCTCACTTGTGACCCTTGCTGCGAAAATGCTGAGACTCTGGGAGAAATAAATTGTCCGGTGTCCTACTATTGCCCGAACCCAGAAACAGTGCAGGACCCTTAATCCGGAAGCAGCACAATTGGATGCCACAAACAGCCCTTTCCCTGCATCCCAGGGCTGGCTCAGCACCTCCCTCTTAGAGTAGTATAGAAAGGGCCACCTGTGGGATACAAGAACCTGTGGGACAGAACCTGTGGGACACGGGTTAACCCCATCAAGAGCCTCTGTAATGTCACCTAACCAATCAGCACGTCACTTCAATGAGAGCCAGGAGACTACCTCACAGAGATTCCCAGGAGGACGAATCTAGCCAGGCCACTAGACACCTTCACACTTTCCCATCTACCACTGGGCCCACAGGAATGCCACCAATGGAAGTGTGGAGCTGCCAGCTGGATCACTGACTCCCTAGGGCAGGGATCCTCCACTCGGAAACATGTCCCTTTAGCCAGGTATTGTGCTGTGCACCTGCCATCCCAGGCACTTGGGTAACTGAGGCAGGAGAATTGCTTGAGTTCAGAAGTTTAGAAATGACCTGGGAAACAGGATAAGATTCATGGAGAAAAAAATTTTTAAAAAAGTCTGAGAGAGAACCAGAAGATAAAAAGAACTGACTGCCTTGTGCTGTCTCTTACGTGTTTGGGGCAGTAAGTGTGCTTGGGTCTATTTGTTCCTGAAGCTCACACAAACGTATACAGCACAGTCGCCTCCTGCCAGGAACGTAGTGACAGCCAGACAATGGGAATGCCTCTCCTGTGATCACACAGGTCCAGCAAATGTCTGGATCACGACACATCTCTTGATACCCACGGAATTTGCAGGCCACCCTGCAGAGCCTTGGGGCCTCTCTAGTGGGCCGCCCTTCTGTTTGTGGAGAAACTGTGTTTTTATTGGTTTTCAGTTTGTTTCTTTCCATCCACTTTACTTCAATAAGCGAACTCTGTCACTTAAAGCAACTGCAAAGTCCCCACCGGGTGTGGGGGGCAGCGGGTCCGATCAGACACGCTGTGTCCCATAAGGCAGTTTCACTTCTCCACACAGCCTCCTGGCCTCAGCTGCTGACACAGAGCGTGAGGCTCCATGGAGGGCTGTGAAGATTTGCTTAGAAAGGAAAAAGAAACTCAAACACACAGCAAAGCATCAGAAACCTGGGCAGAGGGCGAAACAGGAAAGCATTCGAGTGCTCCTGTCAGCCGTGCTCAAGTACGAAGGGCATCGACCTCTCCGAGGCGCCCGCTTGACACATGGATGCTCTAGGCTCACCCTCAGAGAGCCTGACTCATAGATACTGGAGCTCTAAGAAACATCATGAGGGTGGAGGAGGTGGCCCGGAGGGTGAGAAAGCTTGCTCTACAAGCTTCAAAGTCCGAGTTCAAATCTCTGGAACCCATGTCAATCCAGACGTGACTGTGTGTCTGTAACTCCAGTATTTGGAGGCAAAGGCATGTATACATGTCTGGGAGCTTGATGGCCAGCCCATCTAGCAGAGACATGAGCTGCCAGTTAAGGTACAGACCCTGTCTCACAGCAGGACAGTGGACAGTGATAGAGAAGGACACCAAGCCTTAGCACTGCCCCCAACTCCCACATGGGCACGCACTCACACACGCACACCATACCGGCCTCTGTATGGCTCAGATGGATGACACAGGCAGAGGCCAAGCGCCGTGGCCATACGAAGTAATAATATTCAGAGACTAGAGAATCATCATCTGCTAAGCATTGTTGGGGTCTGTCATTTAACCTTTGTGACAACCCTACAGGGTACCTCCTGTTCAGAACACTGTTCTACAGAAGTAGAATCTGAGGCATAAACCCACCTCTGCAGTGTGGAGCCCTACGAAATCCGTAGCAGTCTATGCTTGGAATCCTTCTAAGGCCTCGGATTTCTAGTCGGCAAACTGAGGGTGTTATTAGAACCCTCATCATGTGGCCATGGTGGAGTGCGGCAAGCCAGCTCAAGCTGTCATTCATAATCACACATCTAAGAGACAGGACTACAGTCCATAGTCCCAGCCCACTCTGCAGTTGGTAAAACTTCTCCACGGACCCAGGGGACTCTGCCTTGTGCATAAACTCCTATGCAGAGGATGGAGGACTTAGAAGACATAACGCTGAGCTGTGGTCTAGGGACTCCCAGGTTGCTAGGAGACAGACAAGATGATTGACAGTGTAGGAGGAGTTGTGATGAGGGAGGGGGACCAATGGGGGAGAGGTGTTGAGACTTCTCCACCAGCAAAAGAGTTGAGTTTTATAGAAAGGGGCCCATGTGGGGTTCACCTACTCCTCAAAGAGTCGGGGGAGTCCAGAGTCACCACCCCTGGCTCTCAGAGATAGCACCCACCTCCCACGTGACTGGCACTTCACAGGTTTAAGCCAAACCTTTCAAAAGAGAATGCTGAGTCAACCCCTTCCACAGTCTGACCGGACCAGGCACACCACAGCAGCAAGGCACAGAGCCAATCTTGCCTTTCTCTTGACAGAAGCAAGAACCACAGATCCCCTTGGAAAGGGGAAGGAGAGGGAAGCAAAGGGGAATTGGGGCTTTCTTAAGACACTGAACAAACACAAGAGCTCCTCCACCACTTCCTCACTGTGTGACCTCAGACCTGAAACCTGCCCTCTCTGAGCCACATACATACATGGGACATCAAACTCTCCAGGTTACCCCTGGGTGGCTGTGGGCGGTGATTTCTGTACCCGAGCTCCCACGCTGTAAATGCCTTAGGATGGAAGCAGGGGAGTGTGATGCTTTCAGGCAGAACTTGGCCGCACGGCTCCTGTCTTCCATATGCAAAGAACTTTTAGATATCAATAAGAAAATATCAACACGGTGGGGAGGAAGGAGGTTCACACAAGCGAGTCAGAGATAACGAGTCTATTTTCTACAGACCCACTATAGAAAATCAGGGAGACGGCTCAGTGGTTGAGAGATGGCCTGTTCTGCCAGTACAGAACCCACATAAATAGCTAGATGTGATGGTACGTACGTGTAAGGCCAGTGCTAGGGAGGCGGAAGCAGGAGGATCCACTGGGCTCCCAGGCCAGCCAGCCTAGCCTAATCAACAAGCCCAGGAGCCCAGTGAGAGACCCCTATCAAAAAGTAAAGAGGCACAAGTAGGGGCGTCTCAGGTAGGAGGCAGCTAGCCATGGGGGCCTCCAAGGCTGCCGAATCCCATATCATGCCATAAGGAGTGTCAGCAGGCAGAAGCTGTCCAGCTCAGATCATCACATATCTCCAAACGGGTAGTGAGGGGCCGGAGAGATGGCTCAGCAGTTGAGAGTACTAGCCGTTCTTCCAGAGGACCCAGGTTCAAGTCCCAGAACCCACATGGCAGCTCACAACTGTCTGTAACTCCAGTTCCAGGGAAAGCTGATGCCCCCCTGGTCTCCTCATGCACCTGCACCTATACACACAAACACACATAGAGACTGCCACATGTAGACATCAATAAAAATAAAATAAATCTTTTTTTTTTTTTTTTGAGACAGGGTGTCACTAGGTATCTCTGGCTGTCCTGGAAGCTCTGTAGACCAGGCTGACCTTTAACTCACAGAGCTCCACTTGCTTCTGCCTCCCAAGTGTTGAGATTAAAGGTGTGTGCCACCATGCCCAGTGGAAACCTATTATTTTTAAAGTAGCTAGTAAAAGCATAGGGAGAGGGCTCTTTGGGTAAGAACATTTGCTGTGCAAGCACTAGGGCCTGAGGTCAAATCCCCATCACCTGGACAAAAAGCTGGAATGGCCAAATGTGCCTGTAACCCCAGCATTGGAGGACAGAGACAAGTTGATGGCTGGAGTTCCCTGGTGGCCAGGCTACCTAAGCCGGCCAGCCTCTGAGTCTGTAAGAGACATTGCCTCAAGGACCCCACAATCTCCTCTCTCTGCATGCACATCTGGAGGGAGGGGGGAAAGACAGAGAGAGAGAGAGAGAGAGAGAGAGAGAGAGAGAGAGAGAGGCATCTCCACCTATGTTGTTGTGTCCACAGGACAAGTACACAAAACACAACTATTCCATAAAGCATCCATTGTGAAGCTGCTCGTTCGTCTTGTTCATAATAATAAAAACAAAATGAGAAGTAGACCTGACAGCAGTCACATGCGTCCCAGGACAACCTTTTCTTCCCCTGGAGAACACGGCGAGCCTGTAGAAGATTGCCTCTGGTTAGACACAAGTTGGCTTCCAGCGGGTTTCGGGACAGGATGGACCCGCGACGGCCACACTGGTTTTCACAAGCACCAGCATCTCTCTTCAGATTTGACCCAACCCTGGGAACCTTGACACGCACCTCTTTAGGAGAAGCGCTCTGGTCCCCATCGGTGCGCCCCTTCCCGCCCTCTGCAGGTCTGAACGCCAAACACCCCAAGCGCTGCGGTACCTTCTCCCCAGTCTCCCCTGTGGTTCTTGTGGCTTCAGGCTTCCTTCTCCTGGTCACACAGTTGTGCTGGAAAGGGCTGTTTGCTTGGAACCGTTTCTCCTATTTACACAAAATTTCCTCGGAGCCCCACGGAGCACAGTCCCCAGGCACATCCTAAGAGTCGCACTCTGTCCAGAGTTCTGTGCAGGACAGGGACAGAACTCTGCTAGACAAACAGCTGGAGCCGGGAGAGGAGGGAGGAGCAGGAAACGGCAAGCGAGCAGAGGGCGGGGGCACCAGCTGTGTGGCGTGGGGGCGCTAGAGGAGACCGTGCCTGCCAGCCAAGCTGTGCTCCTGGGTGGTAGCAGTCCACTAGGGATGACCCACCCCTTGGCTGGGAGCTGCAAATGGAGCCTTGAAACCAGGCTGCTGGGGTTGGGGGTAAGTCCTGACAAACCTGAAGACCTGCCCCCTCTAAGACCTGTCTCAAACTCCAGGTCCACGCATCTGCTGTTCCTTATTTCGAGTGCTATTCCTGTCCCTGTTGTGGCCAGATGACTTCCAGGTCCTTCGCCTCCGTGGGCTAACAACAGACTGCCCTGGATTCCCACATCACAGCAGGCACTGACCATGCCGGGCTACCGGCTAGGTGTGTCTCATGTTCAGACTGGGAACTCCCTGAGCAACTTTCTTCCCTAGTCTGTCCCCAGCACTTAATATTGCCTATTTTATTGGTTACATCATCACCACCAGCAGCAGCGGCATTATTGAAGCAGCCAAGAACCAGGCAGGGTACTGGGCACTCAGTGCATGACCTTCACAGTGCTAGACACTTAGTACTTGATCCTCCTCACAACAGCGCTGGCAGACAGGTATTTTTATTATTCTTGTTTATTATACTTGTTTCTTGGTGAGTCTTTTGCTTGACACCACCCAGCTAGCGGATGGCAGGGCTGCAGTCCAACCAGGCTGATCCCAGCCCTTGGTCTTCAGATGACACAGCAGTCCTTGGTGTGTGTGCTTCCATTAAGATTGTGGCTAGAACAGCTCACCCATGGCCGACGAGGATGCTAAGACCATCGACAGGAAGTTGTGCCCAGGCAGCCAGGTTGGGGCTGACAGCTGGGACCGAGCAGTAATTCCTCAGGGTCTGAAGTCATGCTGCCTAAAACTGCTTAGAGATGAGGAGAGAGAGGGACAAAAGAAAAGGGGAAGAAAACAGGGAAAGGAAATAGAGAAAGAGCAGGGGGGAGGAGAGAGTTGAAGATAAGGGGATAAGATAGGAAGAAAGAGGAGAAGAGGAGAGAGGGGACTGAGGGGAGACTGAGGGAGAGAGAGATGAGGGGAAAGAGAAGAATGAACATTGGGGGGAGGAGAGGAGAGAGGGGATGGAGGACAAACGTGGGGGCCGGGAGCCCAGCCTCACAGTTTTGGAGAATTGGACACATCTGTCACCGCCTGTGATGGTGGACACGTCTGTCATCACCTGTGACGGTGGGCTCGTCTGTCATCACCTGTGACCGTGGACACGTCTGTCATCACCTGTGACCGTGGACGCGTCTGTCATCACCTGTGACAGTCATGTCTGTCATCACCTGTGACCGT